GATATAAACTGCTTCATCAACTAAAGGGCTGAAGATTTAAAAGAAGATTTTAAAGAGTAGGCTAAGGGCTGTCTTATCAGAAAGAACTGATAAATCTTCAATTTACTTCTTCACAAACAGGTCTTCTCTATTACCACATCACCTTCTTAAAAGCAGTTTCTAAACTTTAAACAATCCAAATAAATTGCTGCCAGATTCCCTACTATCTCAGCTGTGAGAATGCTTCAAAATAACAAGGTACTAGATCTCTCTGGGTGTCTAATAAAAGATCTCCACACATACTATGGAACTGGTGGGAAAAAAAGGAAAAAAAAAAAAATCCTTATAAGCACTTCAACAAAATCTTGTTATTCATCCTAACCAGAGTTAAAATTCCTGTTTTAAAGGGGATTTTTTTTTTTTTTTTTTTTTTAGTTTAGTTTAGTAAGAAAAGATTATTTTGAGAAGTAAAAATCTCGAGAGACAGGGAGAAGTAATAATCTCAGGGAGGGTAGCTTTCACTGTAGTTTTCATTTTGTTAATAATTGTTAGCCACATGTTTTAGGAAATGGGTATATTTATCTGTACTTTTTTCTGTCCCCCACCCCCCGCCTTTTTTAATGTATTTTTCAGAACAAGAAAAGGAAAGAAAGATTTGGGGTAGCCAGTCTGTGTATGGTGGTTATCTTGCTGCCAAAAAAATATATTCCCCTATGTACTATCTGAACTTTTTTGAACACTATCAGAAAATGTTAATATTAGTGATGCTGCCACTCTATCAAACAGCATGCTACAGCATGTGAATAAGTGAGTGAATAAATAAATGAACAAGCATGCTTTGATTTAAAAAGATCCAGGTTAAATACTCTTCTGACACTTATTACCTTTCATGTTTTTTAAAATATTTTTTAGTTGTTGAAGGACCTTTATTTTATTTACTTATGTATATGTTGTGCTGAGAATCAAACCCAGTGCTTCACACACACAGAGGCAAGCACTCTACCACTAAGCTATGACTCCAGCCCCACCTTTCACGTTTTTAAAATCTGAATAACCTAAGGGACTGACTTATCAGGCATTCAGCAATCAATGCCTATTAGTTTGACTGATTTTCTCTTTAATACATAGGGGAAAAAAACAGAAGTATGAGAATTAAAAAATTGAAAGATGCTGAAATCCAAACCTCTGCTATTCAGAGTCCCCAGACCCAAGAAAACCAAAAGTTCTACCCCTCTCTAGGTTTCCAAAATGAATTCTGGATCTTCCCTAGGTACTAAGTATTCACTGATAATGTTTTTTTTTTATGAACTACTACACTGAAGCAGGATAGGAAACAAAATAATAGTTAAAACAAAAACTACTGCCTCAAAGAGCTTAACATGTGGTTTACAAATACTGCTATATTCATTAACAAATGAAACTAGGGAACATGCAAGTTTCTCTGGGATGGCTAATTTGGAGTTCTATACTTTTCTTTTTTTAATATTTATTTTTCAAATGTAGTTAGACACAATACCTTTATTTTATTTATTTATTTATTTATTTATTTATTTATTAATTATGTGGTGTTGAGAATCAAACCCAGCTCCTTGCACATGCTAGGCAAGCGCTCTACCACTGAGCCACAACCCATCCCCATTCTATGCATTTTGACATTAAAAAACAAACAGAAGACTGGGAAATAAATCGAACAGTAATTTTGAAATATTTTCTTATTTCTCCTTTATTCTCAACCCTCTCTATTATGTCTATAAACAGATTTTCCCTAGCCTTGCAAATCCTTTTAATACTAAGTCAGTACTAATTCATTTACTTGTCCCCCTTGTCTGAAATTTCTCACTAGGTTGGAATTCTGATCAAATCCTACTGTATTTACAACTGAAAATAAAGCCCTAACTTTTTAAGACCAAATTTTTTCCACTTTGAATTTTGCTTTAAAAAACACTGATGTCATTCAATCACATTAAAAAATTCATTCAGCAGAAGGTAATGTTATTTTGAAAATGAAGTATAAGCCCTTCAACATCTGCCTTGCAATATTTGAGTAAGAAATTTAATTTAGCCCACTAACTTCAAAAGAAAAGGATTGTGGCTTTTATGTTGGGAAATATATTTCTCTTTTCCATACTGGTCAATCACCCACTGAAAGCCAAAAAATTATGCATTTTCAGTTTTTGATCTAAAGTCTTGTGTCAAATAGAAGGGGAACAGGAAATGGAGAGCTCTTGGCCTTATACTTTCATTCCCAGCTCTATTTGAAATATACACATTATACAAGATGTGATTATCCGCCTCTAAAATACTTAAGGAAAAATCCAATTCTCAAAAACCTACTCTAATGTTTAATAAGAATTATACTCAGGTTCTTCAACATTTAAATAAATCTCTTATTAAATTGTCTCTTCTTTCCTCCCAGTTTTCCTTTTAGCAGATAAAAAAAATACCTATCATTTTTTCATAACTAACCAGTATATTTTTGTTAAATACACTTATCCTTCACTTTTTCAGGTTAAATACTGCAAAAATATAAACTTTCATATCTAATCTTTTGATGATTTTCACTAGGATTAGCTCAAAATCAAGTTATCCACATTTTTTAATTGTGTTGTCTACAACAATGAAGTAGGGGAAAAAAAAAAAACACATAAAACTTTTAAATACTATGATTCTAGCCACAAGACTTGCTAACTCCAGAAAGTTAAACTTCTGCTAACATGTCAGGAAACAGTAATCAAAAGAAAAACATTGCACAATTCACCCAACTAGCCTATGGTGTACAATAACCATGTGGTTTATTTCTTTGCCTTGATCAAAGAATGGAAGCATGTGCAACAATACAAACTATATTATCTTTTGTCTGCTCCTTCCTTATCATGTGTATGTACAGATTTTTTTTTTATTGGCTGCACTTTCTTACACATTTTTCCTGACTCATCTTCATTACAAATACAAATCAACTGTTTACACCACTGGCAAAAGACAGTACAAAGCACACTGAAATCAAAGCAACACTCTCCTAGTTGGTCAAAATCAACTTATGCCATTTCTATTTTTCAAGGAAAACACACCTGATAGACAAAATTAACATCTACAAACTTACAGTCGTTCATGAAAGAAGTTATTAGGACACATTCCAATGGACAAAACTATGTAGGAACGTTGAGTTTGCAGCACACTATTCCTGCAAGTATTACATTCAAGTATCATGACCTCATTCCAAACCAGAGCTTGAAATTTTGTTGGAAAACTTTAAATCTCAATAAAATATCACAGCTATTTTGCTCATTGCTACATAAATGGGTTAGCTTCCAATTCAGTGCCTATGTTTTTGAAAAGAGTCAGAAGAGAGATACAACAGAATAAAATTATTTGAAAGTGCACTAATCTGAGCCTTTAAAAAACTGATTTCCACTTACCACCCACAACCAGTTTCCTCTAAATCTTTCTGTCCTCATTTTTAAAATAAAGAAGCTGGGATAATTTTTTTCTAAAATGCTTCTCCACTCATGAGAATAATCATAAAATTGAATGATTCACACCTTTCTCTTCATTACTTCAAATGCAGCGTGAACACACTATCCTGAAACATTCCATTAGGCCAATATAAAATATATAAATGCAAACCTATCCTCAGAATCCAATAGGCCAAACAAACAATAGCAGGGAGTGTCCATCTTTTTAATATAATTTATGTATATTAAATTCCAACTCTACCTACATAACTTCATCCACTCTGAGGTTTAAAAAAAAAAAAAATCTGGTGTTAGGCTAATGAAGTCTCAAAACACTTTAAAAAGATACTTCTCTATTTGACCAGAACCTGTATGCAATAAATGCAATGTTCAGAAAACCAGCCTTCCACCACGCTCTATGTTTGTGGAAAAGAACAAGTGTTACTTCAAGATAATTAAGTTGTTCTCTTAGAACTAAGTTTTAATCAACTTTTAAAGCTGTTTTCTTCTGCCACCTTCTTTCTCCAGATTAAGATTTCTCAAACTTCTATTTCACGGGGAGACAAAAGAGTTATAAAAGAGCTGATAACAACTAAGGCTGACTCTTAGTTGATCAGTATGGTATGTTTTACTGAGCTTTTGGTTTATAAGCCGTTCTTTGAAGAATAAGATCCTGCAACGCCGCCTGTCTGTGGACCCAGGAAAAATTATAAACAGTTATTATGAAACCAGATCACTAGGACAAATCAAGAGGCCTTTCTATTTCAACTCACTACAACCAAGCCTGGTTGCAAAACAGACTGTTTGCTGCCCCTTATTATTTGAAAAATAATAGGTCCCAGCTTAATTCTTTCCACTAAGGAAGCACCTGATGATATATGTGTATGTATAGGTAAGGATCAAATACATTTTTCATCCACTGAGTTATTATAAATGTGTAAGGATAGAAGATGAGTTCATCTAAAATCCTTGAGATCTAAGAAGCGAAGGTTACTTCAGCAGCCACAATGGTTATGAAAAAAAAACCTGCAGCACAACAGTATGGAAAAGTACAGCCTATCACGTGTCTCCCACACCACACACTTAACTCCAAGTCCATTTACAATCTTAGGGTCCCTCCAAAACTGCTCCCCTCCACCTCACAACTGGAAGAAATCTATCAACCTCCTCCTAGGGTTCCCAGAGAGACTCATCTACCTATTATCTTACTCCTCCCGTTTTAGCTCCGCCCCCGCCTCAGGAATAAGTGGCCCTACTGGCCCCAGGCAGACCACCCTTCTCCGGGGTGTGCAAATGGGGAGTCTAACTAATTTTCTCCATCCTTACCGTGTTAACCATCCCAGATAACAGGCTGTTCACGAACTCTGTGGTCCTCCCACCCCCACGTGTCAGCTACCCTCCCCCACGTTCCCACACCTCACAATTTAGGCCGAGGAAAGAAAGGGGGCAGTTGAAAGCCTAGACCCCAAGATAGACCAACCTAGAACAATCTGTCCCACCGCAAGTCCCCTCCCACCTTCGGCCCCAAACCTTTACAGTCCCTTCCTCCCTTTGAAACCAGGCCCTTGCCTCAGAAACCTCCTCTTCCTCGTCGTCGTCGTCCTCTTCTTCCTCGCTGTTGTTGCTGCTGGTGCCGCCGCCGCCACCTCCTCCTCCACCGCCGCCTCCGCCGCCGCCGCTGTTGTCGCTGTCGCTGCTGCTTTCGCTGCTGCTGGGGGGTCGGCAAGTCCGGTTACGCTTGGCCTTGTGGTGTTGCTGCTGCGGCGGCTTCTTCTTCAGGAGCAGGTCGCAGACTCGCACCATCCCACGAGGAGACGAAGCCGAGGGAGCCCCGCTGCCGCCGCCAACGCTGCCGCCGACCTCCGCCGCCGCCGCGGGGGGGCCCGCCACCGCCGCCACCGCCGGGGGGCTCCCTTCTCCCTCAGCCGCCGCCACCGCCACCGGAACCGTCGCCTTCTCCATCCCCAGGAAAAGAGGGAGGGCGCGGACGGAGGAGGGGCCTGGGGGCTACGCTCTACCGCGACTTCGGCCGCACCGGGGCCGACACAGCGTTTGGTGCCGCCTCCGCCGCCACCGCCTCGGTCACCTCTACTGCCGCCGCCGCCGCCGCCGCCGCCGCTCCGCCAGCTCTCACCTCGTCTCGCGATACTAAGGGCGGGGAGCCTGACGATGGGAGGGAGGGAGCGTGAGGGAGCAAGGCGCGGGGGTGGGGGGGGTGCCGAAGCGTAGAGGGAGACGGATGTCGAGGGACCCAGAGGAGGGGAAACTAAAAAGACGCAAGGGAAGTGTGCCCGGGGTTGCTTCCGATGGGAACGGCAAGGCAGAGCAGAGGTCGCGGTTTCCGCCTGAGTACCCACGAGCGCCGGGATTTCTTCTCTTTCCCCGCTACTTCCCCCACATACAGCCCTCCCTTCTTCCTTCCTGGCTAGTGATTAGAACGCAGCCGCAGGCGGAAGCGCAAGTGACGCCATCAGCCGTCGCCTGAGCGGTAGCGCGCGGGTGGCCAAAAATCGAAAGGGAGATTTCGAGGGCCGGACCCGGACCGCCTGGGCGCGCAGTTGCGGGGAGTGAGGGCGGGCTTCCAGAATGCGAGGCGAGTGCGGAAGCGCGGTACCCACACTTTGTTAGCAGTCAGCGGGGTCCGCCAGATCCGGGAGGTGGGGCCTCGCTCTGGACCTGTTGTGTGGAGTTTTAGTCTGGCCATTTTTTTTCCGACTCCAAATCCGGAATTAGGGCTTTGGATCTTGAGAGGTGGCTTTGAGTAAGAAAAAGAGCCTCTCTTGCCTAAGTTGAAGTCTTGGATCAGAGACTTCCTGGACCTGAGTATTACACATGTGTAATGTGAAAAAAGTAGATTAGGCGATGTGTAAGATCATTACAACTCAAAGAGGAGAGAAGATGTGGGATCTGTGCCGGAGTTTGCAGACGATTGTCTCTAATCTAGCTGTTCCACTTCTAACCAGCACAACTTTTATCTGTGAAGCGAGCGTCATAAGTAATCATGTTTGTCTCCATACATCTCTTTGAAAGAATATTACTGTCGGGATTCTGAGATCATTTTTAAGTGTCTGGAGAACTTGCAGAAGTTTTGAAATGATAGTGTAACTTATTGAACTCAGAATTATCCATTTCTGTTCTAGTACGAGTATAGTGGCATAAGGAAAATGAAGCAAACATCAAAGACAGACGTACTGGCACAAGATAAAAAGTGTGTCTCAACTGACATAGTTGCCATTTTAAGACTGCTAAGTTTAGCCAAGCGTGCCTGATTTTTTTTTTCATAGCATTTTTCTTTTTAGCACTAGCATGCCATATGAAATGTGGGCAGTTGCCAGTACTTTACAGAGTACCACAGCAGAATTGGTGATGACTAAATCAATTCATTCAAGCAGAAAATCATCATGTGCCTACTGTGTGCGTTACTCGTGAAATCAAAGTCTCTTTCCAGGGGCTTTACAGTATAATAAGTGCTATAATAAGTATGTGTACAAAGTGCTCACCATCTGCCTATTCCTCTCTGCAGCGTTTTGTGAGTTCCAGTGTAGAACAGAAAACTATATTGTGTATCTTACCACTACATATTTAGGGTCTGTAATTTCAGGTTGATCCCTTCCATTTTATTTTTCCTTCAGCACCTTTGTCTCCTTTCCTCTTGAATACTTTTTTGCAGTCTTTTAATCCCAAACAAATTTCATTATATGACATCACACTTCACAGGAAGATTGAGGCAATTAAGCACAGATTCCTTCAATTTTCCAAATGCTCGAAATTTCCTGATCTTTTCACCAGTATTAGAGATATGAGAAACTTACTTTTCTTATGCAAGATTAACTCTCCATCCATATTCTAGTTCCAGTTCCTGTCTTTCTTATCTATTTGTTTGTTTGTTTATGCAGTGCTGAAGATTGAATCCAGGGCATCAAGGATAGTAGGCAAGCACTCTACCACTGAGCTGCATCCCTAGTCATTTTATTGAGACAGGATCTCACTAAATTGCCCAAGCTGGCCTTGAACTTGTGATCCTCCTGCTTCAGGCTCCCAGATGGCTGAGGTTACAGATGTGTGCCACCATGCCCCCAACTTCCATTTCTATTTCTGTCTTCAGTTCACCACAAATGCTGATTCCTTATCCTTATGTAATTTTCATTGTATTTCCTTCATAATAAAACTTTATTTAAAAAGTATTCTATTTCCAGTGTCTTGTTATCTGAAATTGGCTCATCAACCCTCTGCAGTCAAGCTTCTGTACCTACTTTCTATACTATCAAAAGTGATCTCTTTAAAATAGTTCTTTTTTTTTCTTTTTCTTTTTTTTTTTTTTTTTTTTTTTTGGGTATTAGTGTTGAAGCAGAGGCACTTAACCACTGAGCCACATCCCCAGCCCTTTTTTATATTTTGTTTAGAGACAGGGTCTCGCTGAATTGCTTAGAGCCTGGAAGAAAATGAATTTTTGTTCTTTGTGTAGTAGGGAAATAATGATCCTGTTGGGACTAGTAGAATAAGATCAAAATTATTACAATGGATGAGGCCCCTGGAGTGACTTTCTGTTATCTAGCATTTTTTGTTTGTTTTCCTTTTAGAACATTGAGGAAGAAACTGACTGTACATTCTTGAGACTTATTTCTTCTTCCTGGGCACACACCTAAACTAAATTTTACAGTTCCTTGTCATTATGACCATGTGGTTGATTTCTAGCTAATGAAATATGAATAGAAATGATATGTTCATTTTCAGAATTAAATGAAGTCCCCCTGTCCTCCCTCTTTCTCCATCAGCTTCTTGTCAGTGAGCATGATGACCCTGAGGACCATATGTTGGGTATTTCAGAGTTAGAAACACCCCCTTGTGGACTAACTGTAAGAAAAAAAATGAGATTTGAAAATGTATATTGTACAGGAGCTGAAATGACCATAACTTATCAAGAAATTGGTACCAGAATTTGAGTCCTGCCAAGACAATAACATAAAATATGTTACCTTGGCTTAACAATGATACAGCAAACAGTAGAGAAACTAATTTAGAGGCTAGAAGAAGACCCCTATTTGAAATGAAAAGTAATTGGTAAAACTGTCATGTGGAGTAATTGAAAGGCAGATTACCTATCTGTTGAGAATAAATCTAGAGGTTGAAAAGATTAAAAATAATAGTTTGTGTTAGATTTTACATTTTTCTATTTAGCAAAGTTTTATTGTAAAGTGAAACTCCGAAAATAATTTGCAGAAATGAAGGTGGGTGGAAGGATTGGAAAAACTTACTAGACCTAAAGACCTAAAACAGGAAAAGAAAAGAAAGAAATAGTACAATTCCCTTAAGATTTAGTCCTGCAAGAAAGATCAGATCAAGGATTTGGTTGTCCCATCCAAACCCTTATGTCAAATGACCTCAAGGTAGCTATAGTAAAGTTCTAGAAAAACTGGCATGATGTAAGGAAGCAAAGAAGTAAATCAGGCTTGAGAATTACATAAGAAAGAACTTTGTAGTATTTACCTGAAGAAAATAAACCAGAAGCCCCATTTAAAAATTTTTTTTTAGTTGTAGTTGGACACAATGCGTTTTTTAAATTTATTTTTATGTGGTGCTAAGGATCAAACCCAGCACCTCCTACGTGCTAGGCAAGTGTTCTACTGCTGAGCCACAACCCCAGCCCCAAAGCCCCATTTTTGAAAGAATTTTATTACTAAATAAACTATGAAACTGGCTCAAATATAATTGTTCAAGTGTTAAAACAGTGGGGCAACTGTTTAACCCCATAAGTGGGAAGTAGAATGTAAGAGCTCAACAGCTAGCTCCACAATACCCTAGAGGATGTGACCCTGGGGAATAATGGACAAAGAAGATATTTCAGAGGTTGGTATCAGGCCCTGCAAAATAATAGACAAGAGCATTCTTCCCCAAGACTAGAGTTGGGATCACACCAAAACTGACTCCACTCTCAGAAGACATGTATTATAAAATGCTTATTTAGTATTTCACTATTATTGTGCATCAGTATTGCACAAGGTCTCTTATGTTTCTCTTTTCCAAATGAGGGAACATATTATAATTACCCTTTCCTGATCTACCCCTGTCATTGGGTTTGCCGAAATAATTTGTATTTTTAGTTCATAGATCACATCTACACTTAATGAATGGGGCCGCACATTATTTGAAAATCAGACTTTGAGCCTGATCCAATGATTGGAGAGAACTTTAGGATTTTCTCTCTACAGGAATATGTCCTTTGTGTTGAAAAAGAGGTACAATATGCATTTAGATCAGAATAATTGAGTCTCACAGATACTAGATTCTTCTGAGCACATAATTATATTTCCCAGCCTCTTTTACAAGTAGGAGTATGTCTGGATTAGGTGAGCCAATTAGGTTCCAACCAGTGGAATGTAAGCAGAAGTAATAAGTTCCTATTTCAGTACTGGCCCATGAAAACATCACATGAACAGTTTTTCAGCATCTCCCCTCACCCCTCCAATTTGAGGCAAGTGAATACATTTGCATTGGAAGCCATGTGTCAAAGATAGTCAAGCCACAAGATGAAAGACTGGTTTCCTAAAAAATAATTAATTCATTTAAAAGACTGATTTCTAGAATTTCCACATGGAGGATATCTTCTTGCTATAGGAATGTTCATTGTATATCAATTTATATATATTCCTTTGTGGCTGAACCACTAACATTTGAGATTTTATTCTAACTAATACAGACCTGTCCCTCTTTCCCCAGGAGCATTTATCCATTGCCTAATCCTAACTCCTGTACCACATGGGTAGGCCCATAATTCAGGCTGACCAAATACCCTATTCTTCAGTCATAGTGATTAGGCCAGGATGGGCAGATTAATAAAACAAAGTTAATCAGTATCACCATTTTGGCTAACAACATTGACAAAGAAGCACCTAACTAGAATAAAGTAAAAACTCAAACAGCCTCTGACTTTTGGCCATGACGTAGAGTGAGCCTGTCTAAAAATTAGATCATTTCAGCAAAGCAGGCAGTCTCAACGATATTACAAAAGGGACAAGAATCCAGGATCTGAGACATATGTTCTTGCTCTCAGAGTTAAAACCTCAGGATATAAGGAATAGATACTGCCAAGAAG